GGATCGGCTCGGTTTTTGGTTTACTAAAATACGGTTCAGATCGATTTTCGGTTTTAAAAAATCGGTTTTTAATCGGTTTGGTTCTCATTTAGGTCAGTTAGTTTCGGGCAGTTAAATGGTTTCAGTTTGAAATTTGACAGTGCTATATGACATACTTCCTGTTTTATTTTTAAGTGTCTCATTTTGATTTTTACAAAGTATTTTTTGAAATAGGCTTGATTGGGCTTAGCCCATTTGGTATGTCCAATTCCAACCGTAAGGATCACACAATTTTTTTTTTTTTACTTGTAATAAGGCAAGATAAAGAGAAAACGTTAGGACACCATCTCAGAAGACAATTCCTAATGCAATATGGATCACGCAATTAGATAGTGGCCCTGTTTAGTAATTCACGATTAGCTTATTGGTAAGAGTTGATTGCATTAGCTATTTTGACTAGCTGATTGGTAAGAGCTTATTATGTAGATTTATTTGGTAAAATTTGATTCTTAGTTGTAGTTGTGTTAGTTGAACACATGAATGACAATATAGGACATTAGCAATTCATTTTTACTTTACTAAGGTAAGAAGTGGGAGGGCAAAAATGTAAATTAGAGTAACTTTTTAGGATGAAATTGTCATTTGACATCCATTACTCAATAAGTTAATCTAAAAATCTCTATTTTTTAGCTTTTCACAAATTAGTTGTGCCTCAATCAGCTCTTTTAAAAAGCTCTCTAAACAAACAACCAAATTAAATGATTTATGCAACCAAACCTCTAATAACCAAACCTGGCCAATAAGATCTGCCCAATCATTTGAGCAAATAAGGACTAATGATTTGATATGCAAAACATAATTCAAGATCACCATTAGAAAGGTTAACAAGAGAATAAGAATGCAAAAAACCCTGTTACAATGACACTGCTTCTTGACCACTTCACCTTTTTAGTTGTCCTCCGGTTCATCAATGTTGGTCCTGAATAAGAAATCTTCACCTTCCAATTCATCTTGATACAAGCATATTGATGGAAGGTTTAGCCTTTCACAAGGTTGATAACTATTCAATGATCTTGTGCCCTGTGGTTTGCAACATAGAAACTTAAAACCTAATTCACTTGCACTAAGAAATTTAGCATAATAACAGAGCTGAACATAATTATGCATGATCAAATTTTTAAGAATCATTTTCGAAAGGATGCAGCCTCATGGGATTCAAATTGCATATTGGAAAGAAAATATAGCATCATTTGGCCTAATTATTGCAAGTTTAAGTGAAGCATAGTAGCATACATCCAATAATATGAATGACATGCACCGGTAAAGTGGTATACACTCTATACAGGTTTCTATGACACACAAATTAAGTCCTCTTGTCTACTATTCTCCTCATATTCTATTTACTAGTGTTCTATAAGTTCAATATCACTTTGATTCTCCATTTCACCTCAAGTGCTCAAATCAGAAACTCAACATCAAACATGAGTAAGTTCATTTTGGACAAAAATATATGCAAAGTTTTCATGATGGTTGTGTTGTACACTTGGCACTGTATCCATAATCTGAGTAACATAACAGGTGATATATTCCAAGAGCTTATATAAGATAACCTTTGTCTATAAAAAATTGTTTCTTCAAGTGTTATAAATTAGAATAGACTCAAAATGTGGGTTATAGGAATATGTAAAAATTTCCTTTCAGTAAATGAATTTTGGTTATGTTTTCACTTTTAAAACCCTACCTAGTTCATAAAACATAGGAAATTAACCTAACCTTCTTTAGAGTGTAGAAGAAATAATGTAATCCATCACCAAAAGTGCTCCACTTCATTGACCATGTAAAATCAGGAGCTTCAAATAATGGACGCCTAAAGTGTGGCTGCAACAGAAAGTTAAGAAATAAAGAGGAGAAAAATCCATGCTAGAGCTTATATGATTCAGTGAACCAAAGTTTGAATGTACTACCTGCCCAAACGAAATTGATATGTAGATACTATTTGGCTTCAATACCCGGTGGATGCCTTGGAGCATTGCCATGACCTTGCTAATGGTTTTAGCTTTTGGGTTCCACAGATCACCACTGTCCACGAATAATACATCCTTGAATGACAAGTATATCCAAACTTGGCAAATTAAAAGCCAAGTTGCACTTACAAAAGAAATATTTAAGGCTAAGCTACTAATATTGTTCTCACCATTGTTCCTTTCTCAATAACAACATCAAAAGAATCATCTGCGAATGGCAAGTCTAGCATGTCCGCAACCATGGCCTTTATTTCTGACATTTAAGGCAGCACAAATCATCCAAAGTTAAGATGAAGGGGGGCAAGAAAGTGCAACAATCAGTACCGCTAAACCAAAATACATTCAAAATCAGTCAAGACAAACAGCTTGTCAATCATACTTTCCACAAGTGATTAAACCTCGAATCTTCTCTAAATTCACATTGAATTTTAATGAAAGGGCAACAGTTAGCAACAACAACTCATTGAATTAGCACAAAATGATGTACGCCTTAAAAATATCCGAGCATGTCTGTGGAAGGATATATATTTGTTCACACCAAAAATCAATAGCATCATACAAGATAATCAATGACAATGGGCTATAAATTCAATCCAATTCCAAAATCCGAATCTGGGACAAACTTAAAGAATCAAGCTTTCAACAACAATGTGTTAGCAAAATGACAACAATGGCATAGAATTCACAACAGCAAGCAAGATGATTGTACCATTAAAGGAAGAAAATCCCACAAAGAAATGCACGAACCTTTGAATTCCTCCAACAACAATATTTTCTGCACTTTCTCAATAGCAATTGGGAATAAATCAGTGCAAGTGATATTCTTAATCCCATTTTTATACATTTCATCACTTAATTGGGAATTTCCACAACTCAATTCCAAAACCTAAACATTGAACAAATGAAACTTATCAAATTCATATCAAGCCCAGAAAATTAACATAAATAAATAAAAAATACTTTAGTATTAACATTCTACAAAAAAAAAAAATGAAATAGAGAAAATAAAGAGGAATTAGGTTGAATATTCTCCAAAATTAGGTGATGAAAATAGGAATAATCTTAGAGCCATTCATAATGTTCTTCCTTAGCAAATCTATTGTTCCTAAAAGAAAATTTTAGAAATTAAATTAGATGCAATAAATTTGAGCAACGAGTGAAATTAAAATTAGAAACAGGGGAGAGAGAACAAACCAGTAAAGTGGATCAAGATAAGTCAAAACGGAAGAGGGTACTACTATATCTTCGAGACTCTTCTTCTCATAATCCATTGATGAGAGATTCTCAAAGGGTTTTCTTAAACCCTAGATTGAGCAAGAGTGACGACAAGGCTTACAGGTCAACAAGTCAAAGTCTTTATTATCGGAAAATTTGTCAAATCGTTACTTTGTCAGCCTAAATTTAGGTTTCCGCTTAGATTTGGTTTCCTCGTTTCTCTATCTTTGCCCCGTTATTTTTTCCTACCAGCTGGCACCTTGTCCCCACACAACTTCAACCTATTTACAAAAAATGCCATCCTATACACTTCTTCCCCCATATTTACTATGTGCCAATAGTTTTCCCTATTTTTACAGCAACTTTGTTATCTTTTTCCAGTTATTTCGTTTTTATTCAGCCTTTTTAATTTTTTTTTCCCCTTAGTTGAGTCCAAAGTGGACTGACCAAGAATGTCTCTCCTTAAAGGGGACCTCTAGACTTTAGTACGTCTTTTCCTGCCGTGAACCAATGTATAACCAATGTAAGTTTATAATGTCATGCTTCCGTCGTTTTATATACTACGTATTGCAACAATTAATTTTTATACATTCTATAACATATCATCCGTGTTTGTCTTAAAATTTCACGTGGATGCTAATGGGTTAATTATGAAAAATGATAAAACACAAATTAAACAAAATTTGTTTATGGCAAAATCGTAAACAAATTAACAATTTTTTTATGAAATATGGGTTTCAAAGTCATTGATTTATTTACAAAAATGTCATGTTGACTTAATATTTATATTGTTTTATTTACCATTTTGTCATTTGATAAACAAATCTACAGTATATAATTTGTACTACGTATATATTAAAACTCAATAGTTTGGATTGTAATATCTTGCCACGTGTTGCCAATCTCGCCACGTGTCGTCATGGCTTGACAAACATGTGGCATCATGTCATACTATTATTGATCATCGTTGTTTCCTCACAAAAAATTATAATTTGCTAGCATTAATATTTGAACTCATGACCTCATACCCATTAACTTTAACTACCGTTCCAATGACACATTTTCTAATAATAATTTTATATTAAAAAGAGTTATTTTTGCTCATAAATTGTAAAATTTTAATTGTTAACTTATATGTGTATATGTTATAACAACAATACGATTACATAATTATTATCATTTCTTTTAGTTACTTATTCATAAATCATATAGGTTATTGTTATTATAAATATGTAACCTAAAAATGCATAGCGTTTTTATAGGTTTTTCTTTTAACCAAAAAATATGTTTACTTGAAGGAATTTTTTGTGACAACTGAAAAATAAAAATCCATTTAACAAATAAAACAAACTAATACAATATAACATTTAGGTTATTGCATATAAAAATGAATTTTGAAGTTCAATGATATTTGCAAAAATTAAAAAATGACATTTTTTAGAAAAAAAATACCATTATATTTCACAATTTATTTTATTACATTTTTTATATACAAACAATAATGACCTAGCTAGGGTATCGCCCATGCCAAAAACTAGTTTTTTTTATCAAATTAATTAACGCCCATGCCAAAAACTAGTTTTGTTTATCAAATTGATTAACTATGACTTCCTCATTTAAAATTGAGGAAGTAGTTATTTATTTATTTTTTTAAAAAAAAAGAGGGATAAATTATGGATGTTTTTATAATGGTCGTTTGAAATATAACTAGCATATTATTTTAGTGATAAATAATATGCTAGTTATAATTATTGAAAATTTTACATGATAACATGGACACAATTATTCTTCTAATATCTACAATGCAAATATAATTATTGACAACATAAAATAAATATTTTTCGAGAAACTATAAAATTTTAATTAAAGATATGATAAATAAAAAAAATTGAGGATACTAAATTAAGTAATATAATTTATTAATTGGAGAAAAGTATGTCAATCATGAACTATATAATCATTAAAACATTATGGTAATCATATTTTTAAGGAAAATTTGAAAAATACCTCAAACTATTTTTCACGTTTTAGTAATTACCACCTCAAGTTTTTAATTATTTACATTACCACCTACTTTTCTTAAAAACATATATATGAAAAAAATAAAAAATAAAAAATAAAACTCCCACCTCTTTTCCCAAACACCTGTGGGCCCCACTACCAATTGTACCTCTCTTTTCCCTTTCTCACCTCTGTTCTTCCTTCTTCTTCCTCTCTATAAAATGTTAAGGAAAAAATTGTCCCTCTCTTTTCTCTCAACTACTATAAAATTTTAACTAAATTATAAACATATATGGTGTATCATAATTCTTCATGAAATATTAAAGATATATAATTTGTCGATTGTATGAAAGTTTTTGCCCTAGCCAAATTACCATTTGTTCTAGACTTCTAGCTGACGATCGGGCATAAGTAATTAAGAGAATTACCATTTTTTTTTTAAATAAGAGAGAATTACCATTTGTGATGTCTAAAGATGGGTACTTCTTTGCCTTCCGACGAAAGAAATATGTGCACAAGGATATCATTAACAACACGACAGCAAGTGGCACAACAATTGCAATTACTTTAGTTACAAATTCATTCTTATTTCCTGCAAAGCAAGAAGTTGAATATTATTCCATAGTGACTAGCTAAGTCCACTCTCAAGTTTGACTGTATTTCCCTTCAAAAAAAAAAAAAAAAAAAAGTTTGACTGCATTTATAAATCATGAAAACATTATGGTAAAAAAAAAGTCCATGTTTGGTAAATGGCTTTTTGCTGGCTTTTGATTGACTTTATATTTAATCAAACAGACAAAAAACGTATTTGGTAAACGAGATTTCTACTCAAGATTAGCTCTTTGGTTTTGGCTTTTGGCTTTTCATTAATAAAATTATTTTTTTTAATCCTTACTTTATTAATTATTACTCAAGGATAAAAAAGTAATTATATTAATGAAAAGCCAAAAGCCAAAATAAAAAAAACTAGTAACACTATTACATTCATATCTTAAGCTTATGGAGCATTAAGATATACATATATCTTAAGAAAACACATACATATGTCTTAATGCATATGTATATGTTTTCTTAAGATATATGCATGAATGTCAACATTTTATTTCGGCTATAAATGTCTTCAATCATCTATAAGCAAAAACTATAATTATTCAATATTGAGAATAGTAATATTATAATGGATTTTTTTTTTCTTTTTTTTTGAGGAAATATTATAATAGATTTAACAAAACCTCACATATAACTTTTTTTTTTTTTTTGAAAGTAAATCGCAATATAAAATCAAAATAACTTACCTAAGTAAGTGAAAAGTTATGATGGAGCATAAATGTGGGATAGAGGAAATGACCAAATGTAATCAAATTAAAGGAACGAACGAAAAACAGAAAACGTGACAAACTTAGGGTTCGTTTGGTATCACTGTGCTTTTCTAGTTTTTTTTTTTTTTTTTCAAAATTATATTATATATTTCACAAAATGAATAAAAAAATGGTCACTTATCAAAAAAAAACTATTCCAAAATGTAAAACTTTGGGCTGTAAATGGTGCTCCTTAAGGAATGATATAATAATTGCAATATTATAATAATTATAGTTCAACCGGTGTATGTAAAATTAGAAACATACCTTCAGAAACTGGCAAAGGTGTTGGTACTAATAGTAATGAGGCCTTAGTCTGATAGATTTCACACCTTATATTGCAGCTAGGATTCAACATCCGAACTCTTTGACCCCCATTGCAATACGAGCTCATTTTATCGATAATAATTTGAAGACATAACTCACAATCCTTAGGAGCAAGATCAGGCGTGCACTGAGCCATTGTGTTTATTCTCACAAAATTATTAAACGAAACATTTTTAGTCGAATAGTACTTCCAGTTCCCATTCCATGACAATCCAGAATAATTCTTTGGCGAACCCAATTGAGATGCTATGTCCTTCAAAGTATCGCACCCCAATTTCATACTCTCGTTCATATAACTTTTAATGGCTTGAACATTTCTGTCGTTACTTTTCCACAACATACTTAAGCCATCAACATTTCCAATGAAAGACTCATTGGAGTATCGAACCATGCACTTATCATACCAAGTTACTGCACTTTTGGCATTCGGACAGTTCGAAGGTAGGTTGGTAGTTGCCGTAGACACACACCCGCTGCAATCCTTAGAAATAGTATCGCCTCGACATAGGAAAAGGCCATATATTACCTCTGAATTGCTTGCACCCAAGGCCGTGGAATTTGTGTTATAGTTTTCACTATTGGTGCTATTACCTGTTGTGGCTGCCTTTGCTGGAAGGGAATAAAGTAACAAATCGAGATTGCTCTTGTACGAGATATCACCACCGAATTTGGCGGGCGAGCACCATGATCTGATCAGGGTATGCCCCGGATCACTATTGATCAACGATGCCGCAGAAACAATAAGTGATGAAAGAGCTAATATCAGAAATAGTTTTGAGAAAATAATATGTATTAACATGATCATTTTTATGTTAATTAGTGTTGCAAAGAAGCTTCTACTTTACTTTGTGCATTTAGTAGGCATAAGTTCTAGAAATATAAATTACTAAATTATTACTCTATACGTACTTAATAAGTTGGGACAAATTTGTGGAAAATTCGTTTTCTACATGTGACATGTCGTTATCCATTACTAATACCTGCTAGGCTGTGCGAATGTTATCTTTGATGTCACATGAGTACATGACAATGAGGTTTGTAATTTGCAATTCGATATACACGACCAAATCAAATATATATGTATATATAAATACAAGACGGCCCAATGTTCATTGTAATTATAAATACATGATGGGCTAGCAGTGGCGGATCCAGGATTTCTAACTAGGGGTAGCACTACGCATTAGATAATTTTAGAAACCCTTAATTATTAGAAACTTATAATAAACTATTTAGATTGTCGCGAACGAATTAGGTTACCTTTTATATAATGTATCATTTTATATAATGTATCATCTTGTCATATACCATTCCATATTTTATCAAGTGTATGCCCATTTTTTTTTTGACCTTTTTACTATATTCATATATCACAAATTTTCATATACGACCTCCTGCATCGTGCGGCCTGCTATACAAGACGGGCCCAACCTTCTTTTAGGCCCAAAAAAATAACGGACCCCTTTTCTATCCCGTTTTCCGTTATTTTCAAACAATCGTTTGATTTGAATTTCGCAAACTAGGCTTTTTAGTTTCCTTCCTCTTTTCCCAAACCGCCATTAATTCTGTCACTTCATCCTTTTATTTCCCCTCTGCAATTCTCTCTCTTCTCACTTCTTTCTTTAATTTTCTTCTGCAATTTCGTTCTTTCTCTCTCTAAATTACGTTCTCTCTCCTCTAAATTATCAGCTTTTTTCATCTCAATTGTCAAAAATGGTTAAAATCAAGAAGGTCGTTCGTACGGGAAAGAAAGGAGTTTCTACATGTTCAGTCGTTGATGATCCAGGTACTTTTGAAACCCTAATTTTTGCGTTTTCACAATTATTGTTCTTTGTTTACTTGAATTATCTCTAGTTTTTGTTTTGATGATTTTCTTCCTTGTATATGATGTTTATTGTAATTTTTCACGTAATTTCGTTGTTTTTTGTGAAATTTCTGCTTCAATTTCTTTGTTACTGTAATTTTTTACATTGTTTTGTTATTTTCATGTTGTTTTGTTGTTGAATTACTTTTTATTTTCACTTGATTTTGATTTTTTTAATACTTATTTTTTATCTAAGTTTCGAATTTGTTGATTATGAGTTATTCTAATATAATCTTGTCAATTTCAGTAAATTTATGTAATTTCTCATATATTTTGATGTTAGTATTAGTAGTCGTTTATGTAGGTGTTACTTATTTTGTGTTGTCTTAGGTGTCACCTATCTAATGGTTTTTGTTAAGGTTTTCTTATGGTTGTGGTTGGTGATTAGAGTAACATAGTTAATTGAGGTTTTTTGTTTACTGAAGCTGCTCATGATGTGAATGATTTGCATGGTTGTGCTTGCTGATAGAATAATGTAGTTAATTGAGGATTTTCCTTTGTTTAATGTAGCTGCTAAGGATGGAATGGTGAGGTTGTTGAGGATGTAAATGATTTGCAACCTACTAAGGATTTGAAAGTTGCTGATGCTAGTGAGGATGTTACATCTGTTGAAGCTCCTGAGGATGTGAAATCTGTTGAGGTTGCTGAGAATGTGAAATCTAGCATTTTGAAGAAACGAAAAGGTCGATGTGTTGCTGAATCTAGTCAAGAAGTTGATGTCAAGCCTGATGTTGAGGATGTGAAACCTGTCATTGCAAAGAAACGAAGAGGTCGTAAAGCTGCTACTGATTGTAGTCAAGTAGTTGAAGTTGTAAAATTTGAAGGTGAAGGTGAAGGTGAAGGTAAAGAGGGGTATGTTTACATTTCTTCTTTCTTATGTTTGGTGCTTTGGTTTACTTGTTCTTGTTTTTGGTAATATGAGTTACTTGTAATCAGAGGTTACTTGAAATTAGTTTTTACTTACAATATGGGTTACTTGAAATTATAGGTTACTTGAATTTTGGTTTATATTGGTGTGAATAATAGGTTACTTGAAATTATAGGTTACTTTGAATTAGGGGTTACTTTAAATTAAGGAGTTACTTAGAATCAGTAGTTTCTTACAATGTGTTACTTGAAATTAGGGGTTACTTGAAATTAAGGAGTTACTTGGAATCAATAGTTATAATATGGGTTACTTGAATTAAGGGTTATAATGATTATTTGAAATAGGGGTTACTTGTAATTAATAAGGCTTACTTGGAATTAGTAGTTTCTTATAATATGGATTACTTGAAATTATGGTTTATAATGACTACTTGAAATTAGGGGTTACTTGAAATTAAGGCTTATTTATTTTTGTGTTCTTTTTGGTTAAGTTTTTGACTTCTTTATATTTTATGTTTTTTTGTTCAGGGATGATGGAGTTACTGTGCAATGCAGACCAGCTGGTGTTGTTCAATTCATGAAAAATGCAACTGATAAACAAAAGAGAGCTGTTGAGTCTATTGGGTTTGGTAGTTTGGTACCAATGAAGTTAGAAATCTGTCCGAGGCAAGTTATTCGCTGGGTTTATGCACATTTTGATGTAGAGACTTGTTCTTTTAATCTACCTTCTAGACAATCTTATAAGCTGACAACAGCTGATGTCCATGATGTTTTTAGCATTCCTATGGGTCCTTCTGCTGTTCCCATTTCTGGTAGACAAAGAGATAATGAGTTGACGGCTTCTTGGAAGGAAAAGTATACTGGTGGTGATAAAGAGATTACTGTTCTAGTTATGGTTAACAGGATGAAAAGTGATAAGGGTATGTTGGCAGATAATGATGATTTCAAAAGGTGTTTTGTGATGTTTGCCATGGTTACGTTACTTGCCCCCACAACAAATAGGCAAGTTGATTTGAAATTAGTTTTAGCTTTAGTGGATGTTGAGGAAATCAGCAGGTATAATTGGTGTCAGTATGTTTTGGCGATCTATGTGATAAGTTGTCAGGTTACAAAGATTCAGCGAAATATGTTGCTGGGTGTATACTTTTTCTGCAGCTTTGTTATTTCCATAGGGTTCAAATTCAAGGGAATGTATTGGATAGTTCATTTCCATTGATTAGGCATTGGACTGATGAGTTGATCAAAGAAAGGATAAGTCTTGAGAATGGAAATTATGGGCAAGGTGTGCTAGATGAAGTTACCACTACTAGAAAACAGGCCATTTCCGACGGAAAAATTCCGTCGAAATCACCCTGAATTCCGTTAGAAAACCCGTTTTCGACGGAATTTCCGTCGGAACTGGTTGTCGGAAAAACTTTTGTAGGAAAAATGATCTTTTTCGACGGAATTCCATTGGAATTGTTTCGTCGGAAGAGGAATTACGGCACCGGAAAAGTATTCCGACGGAAATTCCGTCGGAAGCTGATTTAATGAAATTAAAAAAAAAACACGCCGCGCCACCACCGGCACGGGTATCACCACCTCAGAACACCACCACCGAACCCTAACCCAGACACCCAAATCCTAAACCCACCTAGCCCAGATCTAAACTATCCCCACCCTTACCCTAAACCCACCTAACCCAGACCCACGTATCACCATTCACCACCTCCAACCACCCTAACCGAACCAGACCCACCTCCTAACCCTAACCGAACCATACCCCACCACCTTAACCCACGACGACCCAGATCCACCACCTAACCCGTATCTCCACCTCGCCACCCCCACAGCCCAGATCTACCAACCCTTTCCCACCACCACAACAACCCACAAATCCGAAAAAATCCGAAAAATCCGAAAAAACAACCCACAAATATCCAAAAAATCCGAAAAAAAAAACAAACAATTTAGCCAAAAAAATCCGAAAAAACAATAGACAAATTAAAATCAAAATTAAAAAAAAGAGATACATACCTTGATTCCACTTACAAAACCTCCAAATTGGGCTTACAAGGCCAAATTCGACCATGAAAACTCTAGATCTAGGGTTTTCATGGTCAAATTCGACCCGAAAACCTTCGTTTTAACCATAAAAAAAGGCTTATTTGTTGGTGGTGATGGTTGCAGCGCAAAACAAAAAAGGAGGCCAGGAGGGAGAGTTGAAGTGCGGGTTGGGTGGGTGGAGTTAAGGGAGGATGAACAAAAAAGGAGGGCGGAAACACCGAGAAGGAGGGCAGAAGAGAAAGAAGGAGGGAGAAAAGGAAAGAGGAGAGGAGTTCAGAGAGAAAGCGAAGAGGAAAGAGGAGAGGAGTTCAGAGAGAAAGCGAAGAGGAAAGAGGAGAGGAGTTTAGAGAGAATGAGGAGAGGAGAGAGAAAGAGAAGAAGAGAGGACAGAGAAACAGAAGAGGCGGAGAGAGAGAAGAGGAGATGAGAGAGAAATGAGAAATGGGGGGGGGGATCTGGTGTAAGTTAGGGTTTGTTTGTTTTTTTTTTTTTTAAAAAAACCATAATTTCATCGGAAATGGTTTAAATTCCAACGGAATTAAATTCTTTCAGAAATCTCCTACGGATTTTAAATCTGTCGAAAATTAATTATTTTTCGCCGGAAAATCCGTCGGAAACTAAGATTTTCCGATGGATTTAAATTCCGTCGGAAATTTCCGACAGAAAATCTAAATTCGTCGGAAATTTCCGACGGAATTTAAATCAGTTGGAAATTTCGTTTTTTCCGACGGATTTTCGTGTTCGTCGGAACACATTCGTAAAAATTTGACCTTTTTCTAGTAGTGTACATATCCTGTTACTAAGGCTGAGGTTGCTGGTCAGGGTACTAAGGTGCAAAAGAAGAAAAAAATTAGTTCAGGAGAAAAAAGAAGACAAAGAAGAGAGTTTACTAGAAGTGGCCAAGAAGATAAAGGAAACAAGAAAAAAAGGGAAAGAAGATAAAAAGGAAGAGAAGGAATTAGTGGGAAAAGAAGAGAAAGTAGAAAAGAAAAAAAAGAGCAGTAAAAAGGGTTCCTCAGAGAAAGAAACAGAGGAAAAAGAAGAGAGTTT